CGCCGTAGGCAAGCCCTTGGTCATGATATCTGCAAATTGTTGGGAAGTAGGGACGTGTAAAACATGAATATGGCCAAGGGCCACCTGTTTCCGAACAAAATGAATATCCAACTCAATATGCTTGGTCCGTCGATGATGTACCGGGTTAGCGGAGAGGTAGACCGCTGAGACGTTATCGCAGTAGACCACCGTGGCACGATCAACAGGAGAAGAGAGCTCCTGAAGCAGCTGGCGAAGCCACGAACACTCGGCGACGACGTTGGCCACCGCACGATACTCAGCCTCAGCACTGGAACGAGAGACCATAGGTTGCCGCTTGGACGACCACGAGATAAGTGAGTGTCAGGGCAGCCCGCCCAGTCTGCATCGGAGTAGGCGGTGAGGGCGTTGTCGGCGGAGGCATGACGCCAAGATCCATAGTGCCACCGATATAGCGAAGAATCCGCTTGACAGCAGCCCAGTGAACATCTCGAGGAGCATGCATATGAAGACACACCTGCTGCATGGCATATTGGATCTTCGATCGAGTCAGGGTGAGGTACTGGAGAGCACCAACGATAGACCGATAGAAAGCAGCATCCGAAGCAGGAGAACCATCCGTGGCAGAAAGCTTGGCCTTTGTATCAACAGGCGTAGCGGCGGGCCTGCAGTTAAGCATGCCGGCGCGCTCTAGGAGCTCGTGAGCGCACTTCCGCTGATGAAGGAAGAAGCCATCCGGACGGCGCACCACCTCGACACCGAGGAAGTAGTGCAAAGGACCCAAGTCCTTGATGGCGAACTCAGCGCGAAGACGAGCCGTGAGCTGACTGAGGAGACCAGCTGTACATGCCGTCAGGATGATGTCGTCGACATAGAGCAGCAAGTAGGCCGTGTCAAAGCCCTGATGATAGACGAAGAGCGAGGCGTCCGAGCGGGTAGAGCGGAACCCAAGCTGGTGGAGAAACGCCGCGATGCGCTGGTACCAAGCGCGCGGAGCCTGCTTGAGTCCGTACAAGGACCGCGAAATTAGGCACACGTGGTCGGGAAGCGCCGGGTCAACAAACCCGGTGGGCTGCTGGCAGAAGACCTGCTCCTAGAGGTGACCATGGAGGAAGGCGTTGGAGACGTCCACCGGCCAAGCACGGGAGACCGCAAGGTGGAGAACCGTGCGTATCATGCCGGGCTTGACGACCGGAGTAAAGGTGTCGGTGAACTCGATGCCAGCACGCTGTCGGAAGCCACGAACGACCCAACGCGCTTTGTAGCGATCAAGGATACCATCAGGACGAAGCTTGTGTTTAAAGACCCACTTCCCAGTAATCACGTTGGCGTGCCGGGGACGGGGAACAAGCTGCCACGTCCGATTGCGCAATAGGGCGCCAAACTCCTCTTGCATCGCAGTCATCCAGAGCAGGTCACGAAGAGAGGCTCGAATGGAGGATGGTAACGACGACGACTCAGAGGTGGACGCCGCATGGACGTAGTCATCCGAGGCGTAGCGCGAGCTCGGGCG